AGACCAGGTGTGGTGCCTTTGTACCAAAGTCGTTTGCTTGGGCACCTCTGTTCCATTCGTGTTTCCACCGTGAAGCAGTTGTGTTTATATGGCTGTGTTTCGGTTTGAAGGGTGGCAGTAATTTGGCAGTGAATTTACACGGTACAGAGGAATAACATCTGAGTCCTCAGGAATGGCAACGCATGGGGGGTATCATGGGCAAAACAGTATAGTCTGTTATGTCCATGGCACTGCTCATGTCTATAGGCGACGGTTACTACTTTCCATTAGGTGGACCGTCAACTTGTTTGCCATTCTAAGTTGCATAAAAAAAAAGTTCGGTCCATCTTGATTACATCGACCTCGTTTACACTAACGGCGTGGTAGCAGTAACTTCATTCTTTCTCTGTATTATGTAATAAGTATGAACTTCTAATTGAGCCTTAAAATTATAGGGGCCATAAAATTATTTGTTTTGTTTTCACTAACATAGTTTTTAAATAGATAGATAGATAACCTTTATTACCAGTATTAGGAAAATTAAAAATTAAAACAACCAAAAGAAAAAAAAGAACAATTAATGTTGCTGATTGCTGGAGCCGCCTCAGCTGTTGCTATATATGTACAGATCCAGTGAGATGTACCTATATAGCGCTGATTTTCAGGCGGCCCCTTAACTCCTTTAGTCAATTATTACTAACAAAAATAGATCGTAGTTATTTGTAGTAACATGAAAGATCGTGGAAAGGTCGCAGTGGCAGGTTTTTTTGCCTGAAAAAATCCATCTTTCAGTAATAATAAATAATATCTATAATAAAAAAAATATGATTAATCGTTGGAATGCTAAAGCTACAATATCTTATGAGTAAATATAACCAGTTTTACCAGAGGGAGACTGTACAAAAGTCGATTGCTTGGGTACCTCTATCCCATTCGTGTTTCAACCGTGAAGCAGTTGTGTTTGCATGGCTGTGTTTCGGTTTGAAGGGTGGGATATGGCGTGAATTTACAGGGTACAGAGGAATAACACCTGAGTCCTCAGGAATGGCAACGCATGGAGGTATCATGGGCGAAACAGTATACTCTGTTCTGTCCATGGTACTGCTCATGTCTATAGGCGACGGTTACCACTTTCCATCAGGTGGGCCGTCAGCTAGTTCGCCATTCTAAGTTGTATAAAAAAAAAATATATAAGATTATGAATTGCGCAAAACTGTTCAATAAATTTTACGCCCGGGGATTTTTCGAATTGACGTCCATTTCTTCCATATTTGTCCGTTAACGAAGGCGATCTGAGTCATAATTTTGGATAACTATCACCCCGTGAACTTGCAAGGTGTAGGCAGAATAAAAGCACGTTTTGTATCTCGTGGCGGCAGTAACACGCGAGCTCACATATCGCGTGCAGCTCGCATTATCGCAAATTAATATTGATATATCAATATTATATTACGACCAAATAATGAAATTGTGACTAGTTTTCTGTCGTTTTGTGTACATTATTTATCAAAATTGATGGACAATCGTGGATTTACAGTTTAGTGTCTTGAAATTGGATCGAAAAGTGTAAGTTTTTTTTTTTGCGAATAGGTTCTAAATTAATAAAGTTGTAAATGGTTTTAAAATCATTTTACTGGAGAAAGAAAAAAATGCTAGTCAGTCGTGAGAGGGCATGTTTGAAGTGCAAACTTTTTAGCTTCACCAACTTGTAATTGAATTTCATTGGACAACATTTTTTTTGGATTTTTTTTTTAATGGATGATAGTAACCCCACCCGCGCTATCGGTATACACCGGCGGGGCACCAGTGAGGGATGATAGGTGAGGATGAAGTAGGTCAGTTAGCCCACCATGACGAAGTCAACAAGAATTGTTCACGATGGTTTCCAGGGGGAACCACGTGGAGGTCAACCTAATAAGGCATATTGCTAGCAATGGGGCTGTCTAACTCCATTGCTAACAATCCCTTTCCCCCCATTTTTGGATTATTAAGATAAATTTTTTAGAAAGAATTTTTTATCGCAACTTATTTTAGTATTGTAAGAAAATTTACATTTATTGCGCTGTTTTGTGTTTGAGTAAATAGGATAGAAACATTGAAAAAAAAGATTAGACTCAGCCTGGCTACAGTGTGCTTTACAGATGTGTAAAGATGTTGTAATTTTGTAATATTTGGAAAAACTTTTTTATACATACATAGTAATACGGAGCAACCAATTTTCTTTCTGTAAACCCTTGATCCCACAATAGAATGAAAATTAAAACTGTATATCATATGTATCAATCATGTCCAGCGCTTTTCCCCATCTCAAAAATTTCCCAACCGGCCTAAAAGTGTTTTACACTTTAATAAACAATGTGTCTTGAAGAGATTTTTTCTTTTTTATATCACAAAGGCGGCAAGCAAGCATACAGCCCGTCTGATGAGCCGCGTCCGAGTCTAACACTAAGGATGTCTTTTTTTAATGAGCGATAATGGAATGGTAACCCCGCCTGCGCTATCATACCGACAGGGGGAACCGCGTGGAGGTCGACCTGATAGGGTGTATTGATAATAATAGATCAGTTAAACCTTTTTACTAACAATCTCTTCGTGACCCTGAAGAAATAAATATAAATAGATAGATACTCTTTATTGTTTCCTCCAAAAGATTACAATAGTAAACTTATTATAAATATAAACAATTACAAGAAATAATCACAATGAGAAAACAATGGGTGACCTTATCGCTAAGAGCGATCTCTTCCAGGCAAATGTATACGTAAAACACAAAGTTATAATTTTTTATATATTTGAAGAAATAAATATGCTTACCCGACAAATAAACAAATTAAGAGGAAATAATGTAATGCTCAAATAAAAATCCTAAGTTTTGTTCTAAAACTAGGCAGACATTTTATGTTCGAATAGAAACTGGTAATTTACCAGTCGTACAGCTTGCATTGATTTGTCGATTGAACGATTTGTCGTAAAAACTAGAATAGTGTACTGAAGTCTTCAGCAAATAGATGATAATTATTTTTAAATTATACATATGGTTTTATGAGAAGCCGGAATTAATGTATTATTGTACCCGAGGGAGACTTTGTACAAACGTCGTTTGTTTGGATACATATGTCCCATTCATGTTTCAACCGTAAAGCAGTTGTGTTTGCATGGCTGTGTTTCGGTTTGAAGGGTGGGATATGGCGTGAATTTACTGGGTACAAAGAAATAATGAGTCCTCAAGAATGGTAACGCACGGGGGGTATCATGGGCGAAACAGTATACTTTGTTATGTTTATGGTACTGCTCATGTCTATAGGCGACGGTTACCACTTTCCATCAGGTGGGCCGTCAGCTTGTTTGCCATTCTAAGTTGTATAAAAAAAAAAAAAAAATATTATTATTTTTACCTTATATTAAGTATGTTATACAAAGTCAATTTTTTACCATAGTTACTCCTAGTCTATGGAATGTTAAATAAATGTCAAAAACGATTAGCTAATTACCAGCTAACTAAGATATTAGTACTTACTTCGTCATCTTCATATCAGCCTTTAACTGTCCACCGCTGAACAGTATCAGCCTTTAACTGTCCACCGATGAATAAGCCTTCTCCTAAGGGGTTTCGCCAGTAGTTGTCACGCTTGGCAGACGGATTGGCAACAGCAGTTAGGCTTTGGAGATGTTTTAAGAGGGACGCTTCTGCCCATCACTCGCCTCCCTTAGTCGCCTCTCACGGCACCCCTTAACCCTTAATTGGCGATGATTATTGGCTAAACTATGTAACGACCATGAAGTATAATAAATAATAAAAACCTTAGATTAATATTTAATTGTAAATATATAATAAATATTTCTACAATCCTTCTACCGTCGTACGGCTCGCCATCGACAGGGAGTTCATCCTCATGTCTTACAGCCTCAATGGTCGCGTACTGCGCGGTTTCAGAGATGTTTCCTCCCACGAACACTCAGGTTGTGAAATGAGCTTCCTGCCAAGGTTTTCCCAAGAGACTACAGCATGGGGTTCTTCAAAAGGGGGGTAAAGAGGTTTCTTCAGGGTCGGCAACGCACACGTAATACCTCTGGTATTGCAGGTGTTCATAGGCTACGGTAACCACTTACCATCAAGTGGGCCATATGCTTGTTTGCCACCTCAGTGGTATAAAAAAAATATAAAAATAATATTTTAAATTATAAATAGTTACTAAAACCGGTTAAGTCGGCCATAATATATTTTTGTCAACTAGTCGATGAATTTGTTCTATAATTAAATAGGTATGAAGGATCTATTCATATTATTTGTCAACTGTTATTCGCGAGGCCATTTGCTTTATTTCAATACCGAATTAATAAAGACAACTATTACGAAATAAAGTGCAAAATATCTTTATTTTCATTTCATTTCAGCCGTTAACTATCCATTGTTGAACATTAGCCTTCCTCATAATGGGAGCTTTGCCAGTAGTTACCATGCTTGGCAGGAGGGTTGGCAACCGCAGTTAGGCTTTTAAATATGTTTTAAGAAGGACATTGCTGCCCATATCTTTACCATATGCTCCCTTACTCGCCTCTATATATATTCTCTTACGACACCCGTGGGTGTGTGGAGAATATAATAATAATAGAATGGACCACCCCTTTCTTTCCCACGGGAAAGAAAAGGTCCATTCTATGCCGGAACCTATACGGCGATTTTTTTTTTATATGAATAAAAATCAATTCTCTAATGTATGTATACACAATTAATTAATTTCAGAACAGTTTCACCTATTTATAAAATGTTATATATAAAAATCTCTTTTCACGGTATTTGTGGTCGAACTCTTGTGAAACGGCTTGACCGATTTTTATGAATGTATAAATTATATTATATACCGCTAGGTGACTAGCGTGACTCTATCCAGAAAAAAATATTTATATAGCAGAACAATGTTTGCTGGTTTTGTTTTTGATGGATGGTAATGGAATAATAACCCCACCCGCGCTGTCGGTATACACCGGCGGGGCACCAGTAAAAGATGATAGGTGAGAATGAAGTAGGTCACTTAGCCCATCGTGACGAATTCCACTACAATTAACCACGATGGTTTCCAGGGGGAACCGCGTGGAGATCGATCTGATAGGGTGTATTGCTAGCAATCGGTCAGTTAGACCCCAATATAATCCCTTTCCCCCCACGTTTGCTGGTTTATATACCCAGTGAATGACAGATTGTGAAGAAAAAATTCGTCTCATTTTCTTAATTAAATATTTAAAATCATGCAAGCTAGGGCCGGTAGTTAGTTCATAAAAAAACTGGAAGAAGTTCTGAAGAACCGAGAAGGTCAATTTACTAGACATTACCATCAATTTGTTTTTACTATTGTAAGGGCCCGCAATTGATCACGATCTGACCTGATGGAAATGTATCTAACGATGTGGTCAAGATGGAGATCGCGGGCCCTCGAATAGCCTATTCACATTTGCTTTAAATTAATGCATATTATATTTAGATGGAAAAACAAGCAGGAAGATTTAGACTAACATATTAGTTCTCTTTGCTACAATCCTTTCCCATAAACTTCTGTCTATTATCTACTGAAATATTGCGGCATTTGTATGACTCAAAATAGATGGGAATTGTTTCTGTTGTGAAGCCGCAATTTTTACGTAACCCTTCAGTCTGAAGCTTAAAGTGGCCAGTGCAATTTCTGAGTGGAAAACCAAGACACCTAAGTCTTCAGGAGTGGCAATATACGATGAATGCCACGGAGTACAATCTGAGTTCTCCACGGTGCGGTTCGTGTCTAGAAGGGGCGGTTGCCCCATGACTTGTCACTTTATCACTTTGAGTAGTATAAGAATATAACATGATTAAACGAATTTTCTTAACAATTTTATGATCCTATTGTATATCACAATTCTGAAGTGCTTCGCCCATATGAAATCCACGTGATTAAAGTGGTACTCGTTAGGTGGTTTATACATATCGACACAATTGTTCAATCTTCTGTGTAGCTTATAAGCATCACGGGACGAGCAAAGAGTATCATCGTCACTAAAAAACAAAGCCACAGGAGCCGATATCTTCTCCAGGGGGTAACTCGGAGGTGTTACTCTGCCATATTTCTTCATGTTCATATCAACTCCGTGATCGTACTGCCGAAACATCCCCGACATGATCCCCTGGAAGTAATGATTGACCTGCTCAACTGACGCTCCGGAGGGCGCGTGGCTCAGTATCACCGGTAAGAGGGTAGCGTTTAATTCAGTATAGCTGAAAATATTGAGGCTCATAACTATTCTATTGCATAAGATATCCACCAGCGGGCCCGTATTACAAAGGATGTCCTTCACGGCGCGCATTGTTGGAGTGTCCGACAGTAACTCGTATATGCCGTTGTTATTCAACACCGTCTGTATGAGGGCTCCTTTAGGAGCTAAAACTCGCATAAGTCGGGACTTCGTATGTGATAGGTAAGCACTTGGTGCTAGCGCTATCATGAGAGTCACCTTCTCATTATATTCCGGTCTCTCAGAGCCCATAACGAAGAAGGAGGTAGTGCCCTGCGAGTGGCCGATGTAGTACAGAGACCTCCTATTCGTCACGTTTAGACTGTAGTCGATCATCGCCGGCAGGTCGTAGTAACCAATTTCGTGCCAAGAGAACTTCCAGAATGCGGGCCCAGCGGGATCGAGACTGACGTGCCGGCGCGAGTGTTTGTTCCCCCTGGCGTTGCCCAGCCACACGTCGTACCCGTCGTTTGCCAGCAAGTAAGCTAAACTGTTCTTGGGGCCTGCTACCACGAAATCATCAGCACTCCCGAACAGTCCGTGCATGAGCAATACAACGGGCCCGTTCCCCGGTATCCGGAACATTCTTAATATGTAGCTGTCCGCAGTGATCACCTCGTGTTCTTCCAGGGGATATCCATACTTTGTGATCAGTTCTCGAATACTGAGCTTCACGTCTTCGTTTTTCACGCCCGCCATATATTCGGCGTGGATATATTCCGAAAAAGTTTGATTCTTGATATATGTGATATTCTGCACTGCATTAGACATGATGGTTTTTAACGTAGCGTGATCTAAAGTATCTCTGACAGTATTGTCAACATATCTGAGTTCCGAATGAAAAAATTTGGGTGCACCTTTTGCGTGGATGCTTTAGGATACTGGGACAGCATGTTAACTAACTGCCCATAACAAGTGCTTAGAAGCAGCAAAAAGATTGAGCCCGTGCTGTAAGCCATCTTTCACGAGCGTTTGTTGTCAGAGTTTTACGAAATTGCTTTTCGGATTACTAAATAGTACTAGTATATCAAACTCTTTCCAGAAGGAAAGATATAGATAAAGAAGTGTAGAAACGCGTCTTTAACAGACTGCTGATACGATGTCCTAATTGACGGATTACAACAAACGAAACTACGGGTAACAAATTTATTTATAATATACCTGTAAGTTTAAGTTTAAGTATATATATTTACAAGACAATATATTTAGGATTCCCTAACTTAGTCCAAATGTATCTCCATACAATTGGTACCAGTATGTGTTATGTATTATATAAAATGAAATCTCTATTTAAACTTAACCAACTTAATGGACTAGATACTCTACACTCTCTAACATATTTTCAAGTGACAAGGCGAAGGGAGGTCAAATGGACACTATATGTAAACTGCGAACAGCATTTGTGACGAACTACGAATATAGTTTGTTACGAAGTTTTTTTTTATACAACATAGAATGGCAAACAAGCTGACGGCCCACCTGATGGAAAATGGTAACCGTCGCCTATAGACATGAGCAGTACCATGGACATAACAGAGTATACTGTTTCGCCCATGGTACCCCTATGCGTTGCCATTCCTGAGGACTCAGGTGTTATTCCTCTGTACCCAGTAAATTCACGCCATATCCCACCCTTCAAACCGAAACACAGCCATGCAAACACAACTGCTTCACGGTTGAAACACGAATGGGATAGAGGTATCCAAGCAATCGACTTTTGTACAAAGTCTCCCTCTGGATATCGTTTGTGACAAACTTGCTAATGACCAAATACGTATGTCTGTTTGTGACGTAATGTGATTATGACGAGCTATGTTCATGTCAAGTTGCATGAATCTTCTTCATCATCATTTCAGACATTAACTGTCCACTGGTAAACATAAGTCTACCTCATAAGGGGACGTTTTTTTCTGCCACACTTGGCAGTCCGGTTGACAACTGCAGTTAAGATTTTAGAGATGTTTTAAAGACGCTGCTGCCTCTACATGTTCCCTCAGTCGCTTATTACATCCACGGGAAAGTAAGGGGTGGCCTAGTCTATGCCGCGACCACACGGGCTGTAAATGTTCTACTTCTTGCTTCGTGAATCTTCTTGCTCTTTTTCTTCTCCAAATACGTATGTGACATGGGAAGTCATTTATTTGGATACCTCTGTCACTTGTTAATTTTACAACTAATAATATGCACCGCCGTGGGTGTCGTAAGAGGCGACTAAAGGAGAAGGAGGGGTGGGCAGCAGCGTCCCTATAAAAACATCTTTAAAGCCTAACCGCGGTTGCCAAACCGCCTGTAAAGGGTGGCAGCTACTGAAAAAGTCCTCAAGAGGGAGGCTTATGTTTAGCAGTGGACCGTTGAGGGCTGAAATGATGGTGATGATGATGAATATAGCCCGCAAACTGTAAACACGTTAGCCATTCAAAATAGATAGATAATTTATTTGCATTACTTCCAACACACAAATTACAATACAAACATACACATAATACAGACGTACACAGTAAAAAGAGATTGAAAAAGCAACAAAAAAAAACATAAAGCAAAATATAAAAACAACAATTTCCTTTTTGTATGCGTGTGCCATAGTAACACAAAATGGTCACAACTCAGTTTATTGCTTTGCCCTCAAAAGAGCAAAACACTGATATTCTGTTGTGGCCAAGAGTCAGTCGCGTAATTCCTTAATAAAAATAATAATAAAAAAAGAAATATGAATAAATTACATTGTGTGTGTCCATTACATTTGCCTCCATTTGATATTCTATTCTTAATAAATAAATAACAATAACAAACCTTGTCAAAGCCAAAACTGAGAAAAAGAGAGAATATGTCGACTTGGCTCACGAGGTGACCGAAATGTGGGAGGTGGCGTCCACCGAAATCATTCCAATCCTTCTATCAGTGAACGGTCTTATCCCAACCAGTCTGGAACAACATCTTAGACGGTTGGTATTCCGAGGCGGCTCACTCCCGAGAAAGATGCAGAAAGCGGTGCTCTTAGATACTGCCCGCATTGTACGCCGGTTTCTCTCCCTGGGGCCCTGAAGCCCGGCCGACTGTGCTTCTGCCGGGGGTTAGTTTGCCATCACCTCTCCTTAAGAGGGGAGATGTGATCTTTTGGAATTTAAATAATAATAGAATACTAACAAAGATGTACAGAACCCGTTAGATCGTATACTAGAACAAAAAAATTAAAACTCATTACGGCCGTGTGAGGTATTTAATTATTAAAATTACCATTTTTACGCGTAGATGCGAGATGTCATTGGAAAGACAGCTGTCAAAAAAAGGTTGTTTATTTTATATATATATATATAAAATCTCAATGTAAATTCAGCCACGGCGCAAATTAGGCTCTATTGCATTGGAATTAGAGTGAAACCTTGGATGCGGATTTAGTAAAGACGGAATATGCTTCATTGAAAAACAACGAAGAGTGAACATTGAGAATCATAGATTAGATGGTATTGTGTGTATTACCATATTTTGTCATAGATTAGAAATCATGATGATAGAAGGCAGTACCTGTGGTTCTAACTTAGAATGGAATGAATGGTGTCATGCGTGAAATGGTAGCCCCGCCTGCGCTATCGGTATACACTGGCGGAGCATCGATGAGGGATGATAGGTTAGGATGAAAGTAGGTCAGTTGGCCCATCGTGACAAATTCAACAAGTAACCACGATGGTTTTCAAGGAGTATCACGTGGAGGTCGACCTGATAGCAATAGGTCATTTAGATCCCATTACTAACAATCCCTTTCCCTCTCAGGCTAAGATGTTATGTCTCCGTGCTCATTGGCATTTTCCATTTAACTGAAATCGGCATTATAATTTATCTGTGCTGATAAACAGCCTGCAGGTAAAAACACGAATGGGACGGAAGTACTCATACAGACGACATTTGTACAGATTCCCGTTTGTGTCATGTATAAAAAAAGAAACATTTATTGTATTTTTTGTAATTTGAAATATGTCTACGATATTACTAAGTACTGGGATCATTATATGGTGGTCGTATGGTGATATCGAATAGCCTATAACCTTCTTAAAAAAATGTGTCATCAAACTGTAAAATAATTTCTCATATCCGACTGGTATTTCCATAGAATCACGCGTTTAAACAAATACATTTCTCCGCTTTTTTATAAAGCGTATAAATTGAATAATATCAGGATCATGCTCTTATTTTAAAGACATAAATCTATCTATCTATCTAAAATGGACATGTATGGGCGTCACAGAATTGAATCGACCTCCATTTCCCCGTCCCCGTCCCCTACATATCATCGTTACTGATGAATTCTTAACAATAAGTCAACAAATCTAACTTCATGCTCACGTATCACCCTTCACTGGTACCTCGCCGGGGGGAAAGGGATTGTTAGTAATGGAGACTGAAAATCCCATTGCTAGCAATATACCCAACCAGGTCGACCTCCTCGCGGTTCCCCTTGGAAACTATCATGGTTAATTCCTGATGAATTCATCATGATGGGCTAACTGGCCTGTTTTCATTCTCATCTATCACCCTTCACTGGTGCTCCGCCAGCGTATCCCGTTAGCGCAGGCGGGGTTACCATTCCATTTTCACCCATCAAAAAAAAAACTGGTACCTCGCCATACATATCCCGGTCGCGCGGACGATGTCACGGGTAAAAGCTAGCCTTATATAATCCTTTTTTCGTTTCACCAGTATCAAAACATGAAGCACAATATCCTGATCGCCTGTTTGGCACTGCTACACACCGTGTACAGCCAAAACTCTACGAACATCTTCGGGAAAGGAGTAAAACTTTTAGAGAGCGGCGCCAAACTTGGCAGTGACAAATTGAAAGAAACTGGAAGCAAGCTGGTGGACGGTGGCACCGCTGTGGTGGACGCTGGTAGCCAAGCGTTGCAGATGGTCAATAAGGGTGTGCAAGGGGAAATTGCTGATGTGAAGCAACCTATTGTCAAAGCTGCCGCTTCAATTGTCTTCAGCCAATGTGAGTGTAAAGATATAATCATCGGTTTTTCTTTATATTTTTTTTTATTTATTTATAAAAAAAATTGATGTTGTACACAATTTTATTTTTATTTATACCTGATAGGTTTTGCTTTATTTTAGGTTTTGTTTTGCTTTGCAGATTATGAAAATATCATGAAGCAAAATTAAAAAGCCAAATGTATTAGCCAATTATGATAAAGTTAATTATTTTGATTAAAAAACTAAACTATTTTTTTAAACGCTTTTGATAACCTTTCTTTGTGTCCGTCTGTAAGCATATGCCTTTAGATAAAAATGCTTTCTAAATGGGTTTACAACTTTTTTTATACAACTTAGAATGGCAAGCAAGCTGACGGCCCACCTGATGGAAAGTGGTAACCGTCGCCTATAGACATGGGCAGTATCATGGACATAATAGAGTATACTGTTTCGCCCATGATACCCCTCATGCGTTGCCATACCTGAGGACTCAGGTGTTATTCCTCCGTACCCAGTAAATTCACGCCATATCCCTTCAAACCGAAACACAGCCATGCAAACACAACTGCTTCACGGTTGAAACACGAATGGGACAGAGGTACCCAAGCAATCGACTTTTGTACAAAGTTTCCAACTGACGAAATTATGAGGTAACGAACATTAAAGCAAATACAACATGGCTGTGTTTCGGTTTGAAGGGTGGGATATGGCATGCATTTACAGGGTATAGAGGAATAACAGCTGAGTCCTCAGGGGTAGTCTATTCTATGCCGGGACCACAAGGGAAAGTTTTTGAACATGCCAACATAAAAAGGCGACATTCGTGTTTTTTTTTAAAGTGTCGCTACCTGTTTATCGTTATTATCTTTATGGTGGTTTAGTACTAAGATCAATTGAATATAGCTTGTTAATTCAGCTAGAGAGATTGTTTACTGCTGAACCGATTTTAATAATTTTGGAAATGATGTAATCGATAAGGTTAGCTCTCGTTTTGGTCCCATTTTAATTTGTATCGGGTAGCAAAATCTTGAATCGTTCATGTCTACATTTGGCGCGGTTAAAGCAATATTTTCTATTAGGTATCTGTTAGCTACTTTCGACGTTAAAATATTATTACTGTAGGAAACAGGTGTGACAGATATGTATGTATGTATATTATTATTGTCACTGGAGAGTTAACTAAAATTGTCACAAAATATACAGCCAAATTGACCTTAGAAACTGGCTCTTTAAATTTAGGTATCGAACCACTAAGTCAAGATGGATTTTTTATTCGTCTAGTCTCGAGACGGTATTATAAATTTAAATTAGACTTGAAGAGGTACACAAATGGCATAAATAAATACATCAATATCTGTTTAAGTTTAATATATTTACTTAAATAGCTGAGCGGTATTTAAAAAAAAATTGTTTAAATACTGATTAATTTTATATTTTTATTTCGCATCAAGAATGAGATTCGATACACTAAGGTCTTTTCTAATTTACCAGGGGTGTTAAAGATAACTGTTTATTGTTCCCCCAGAGAAGGATACATTAGCTAATAGCTAAGTCATATAAAATAAAAACACATGCTTCTAAAAACTATATATTCAAACTAACAGAGAAAAAGGGATGCAAAAAATGTATCTTTCCTTGTAATTGTTTGTTTTTGTAATAAGTTTACTACTGGAGGAAACAATAAAGAGTATCTATCTATCTATATTTTTTTTTTTTTTTTTTTGATGGGTTAAAATGGAATGGTAACCCCGCCTGCGCTAACGAGATACGCTGACGGTGCACCAGTAAAGGGTGATAGATGAGAATGAAAACTGACCAGTTAGCCCATCATGATGAATTCATCAGGAATTAACCATGATAGTTTAAACGTGAAGATGGAGTGGTAACCCTGCCTGCGCTATCGGTATACGCTGGCGGGATACCAGTGAAGGGTGACAGGTGAGGATAAAAACAGGTCAGTTGGTCCACAGTATCCAATTGAATAAGAATTGACTACTATGGTTTCCAGTGGAAACCGAGTGAAGGTCGTACTGATAGGGGTATTGCTAGCAATGGGACTTTTATTCTCATTACTAACAATCTCTCCTCCCCCTCCGTGGCCAGTAGTTGCCACGCTTGACAACCGCAGTTAGACTTTTAGTGATGTTTTAAGAGGGACGCTGCTGCCCATCCCTCGACTACATGTCAATATATTGAGTAGAATCCAAATAAGTAATCAGCATTCTTTCTAAGAGCATAACTGAATATGATTATCATAGAAACTTCTTCAAACGACGAGTAATCAAGAGCTTCCCATGCTTATGGTTTAATAACACAATCGTTTAGGTAAACTCTGGTAATTTAGTGTCTTCTCGACATTTCGACCAGGTTACACCATCCGTGGTCACGCGTAGATTGATCTAGCACTATCATGCCTCCATTTCTGAGGCAGAAGTTTTTTTCGTCTACCCGCTCATTGTGGGGGAAAAGGGATTGTTAGAAATGGAGATTGACACCCCTATTGTTAGCAATTTACCCTATTAGGTCGACCTCCACGTTGTTCCCCCTGAAACCATCGTGAACAATTCTTGTTGATTTCGTCACGATAGGCTAACTGACTTGCTTCATCCTCATCTATCATCCTTCACTGGTGCCCCGTCGGTGTATACCGATAGCGCGGGTAGGGTTACCATTCCATTATCACCTATTAAAAAAAAATACCCGCTCATTGTCCCAGATCATAGTTTATCTAGATGATCCGTCTCTTTGTTAACTATAAACAATGCAACGCGATAGTTTCAAAGTTAACATTCCCATACTAACTTGATGGCTAGATGCGCCGTGGTGGTACCTATAAGTGTTCTGACTACAAGTGAAACTAATTCACTGGTTTTCTAACCGTGAAAGTGAAGCCAATTGATTCTCCCTCCAATTTTTTGTTGTTTTCGACCCATATTCCCGTTCTCTGGGAAAATATTCAACTTGATTGGTATACACTCTTAAAAGAATGCTAAGCGCCACCATTAAATTTGGTATTTGGTCATCTCTAAATGAGGCATCTTCAGGCAAATTATTACATTATCCTCTCGGTACCCAAACTACCCAAACTCTTAGACATCTCTAAACCCTGACTGCGGTTGTCAATCCGCCTGCCAAGCGTGGTAACTACTGGCAAAATCCCCCCAAGGGGGAGGTTAATTATTCAGCAGTGGACAGTTAAAGGCTGATATGATGATGATATAGATGATATACAATGACTATGATTAATATACGTAACGTACTTACATTTTTTTTGTACCACTGAGGTGGCAAACAAACATACGGCCCACCTAATGGTAAGCGGTTACCGTAGCCTATGAACGCCTGCAATACCAGAGGTATTACGCGCGCGTTGCCGACCCTGAAGAAACCTCTTTACTCCCCTTTTAAAGAACCCCATGCTGTAGTCTCTTGGGAAAACCTCGGCAGGGAGCTCATTCCATAACCATAACGTAGTTGTTATAATAATATTGCAGGTGGCATTATGCGCGAGAGCTTGCGCCGGCTGGCTTCAGACGAGGGCATCAGGGAGCGGCGGGCAGGCGGAGACACGCGTCGGGTCCGCGTCGAGCTCATGGACGGAGACCACATCACCGTCGAAGTTCATGTAGGACTCTTTTTAAGTGATTTTCTAGAAGGGTGAGGATGATTACACTGCGCCCAGGAGGATCGTGGGTGCAGGGTAATCTGTGCTGTTCATATTCTTAGGCGACGATTGCCATTTTCGGCATTCTGAGTTTTATAAATATATTAGCGACCCGCCCCGGCTTCGCACGGGTGCACATTACATTCCATCACATTAGAAACCTCTAAATTTGTCAGTGTTTCTCTACAATATTATGCATGTATTATACATATACCATAAACCTTCCTCTTGAATCACTCTGTTAAAAAAAACCGCTTCAAACTCCGTTGCGTAGTTTTAAAGATTTAGGCATACTTTGTTTTATACTATTGTAATATGTAGTGTATATATATATATATATATATATATATATATATATATATATATATATATATATATATATATATATATATATATAGGGATAGAGATATAGCGATTAGTTTAACAACTAGTTAGCAAGGGTGGGCTTATCTCTAAAAGAGATCTCTTCCAGCCAACCTAATGCAGTTAGAGAGAAAATATTTAGCGGGTTAGATTACCCGTACAGGAAAGGTACAGGTAAAAATGTATACAAGGTAAATCGAATACAAATAAAATAAACATACACAATTTACAGACATACATTTTTAGTGATCGGTCAATACTTTTTTGTCTCAGCAAGTTTGTAAATTCTTAAAAGGCGGTGATCTAAATGTGAAACCAATAGCTATTATCAGGTTATTAGACGCAGTCGAGCGCGGACCGAATGCAATCGTGATAGCTCGGCGAAAACATTTCGTTGCCTCATTTTTTTTTTATTTACATCAGTTTTTTTTTACTGGATGATAATGGAACGGTAACCCCGCTTGCGCTGTTGGTATACACTGGAGGGGCACCAGTGATAGGTGAAGGTGAAGCAGGTCAGTTAGCCCATCGTGACTAATTCAATAATGAAACAATAACGATGGTTTCCAGGGGGAACCGCGAGGAGGTCGAACTGATAGGGTTTATTGCTAGCAATAGGGATGTTAATCTCCATTACTAACAATCCCTTCTTCCCTCAAACATCAGTTTTTGGACAATAGACAGTGACGGGTTTGAGAGGAAAATAGTAACCCCGACTCCGTTATCAGAATGTGTATACGCTGGTGGAGTACTAGTGAGGGTCAATAGGTGTGGATGAAGTTAGGTCTATTGGTTTATTATGATGAATTTACCAAGAATGATGATGTGTGAGAGGGGTGGAGGGGGTTGGAGGTTGACCTAATTCTGTGACGCCTATGACTTATACAACTTAGAATGGCAAACAGGCTGACGGCTCACCTGAGGTAAAGTGGTAACCGTCGCCTATAGACATGAGCAGTACCATGGACATAACAGAGTATACTGTTTCGTCCATAATACCCTCCATGCGTTGCCATTCCTGAGGACACAGGTGTTATTCCTCTATACACAGTAAATTTACACCATATCCCACCCTTCAAACCGAAACACAGCCATGCAAATACAACTGCTTCACGGTTGAAACACGAATGGGACAGAGGTACACAAGCAATCAACTTTTGTACAAAGTCTCCCTCTGGTGATTATTAAACAATTTACTTGTTATTGTTTAATTGTCCAATGAAATAGGACGTTATTTTTATTACTTTTCAATTTAAACAAAGCAACTAAAGTAATTGAGTAAACTATAATACGTCAAAGTCTTAACGACGTGAACAATTGAAGACGCAGTATTTTTTACGAAGTTAGAAACAGTTCATTAAGTCACTTACCATCAGATGAGTCGCATGCTCGTTTGCACCATGTGTAATAAAAAAATTTGCCGTTAATTGGTCATTGTTAGGCATTCCTCATAAGGGGAGATTTACCATTAGTTTCCACGCTCAGGTGTTATTTCTCTGTACCCTGTAAACTCACTGCCATATTCCACCCTTCAAACCGAAACACAGCCATGCAAACACAACTGCTTCATGGTTGAAACACGAATGGGACAGAGGTACCCAAGCAATCGACTTTTGTACTTATTGAGGGGGGTTTTGTCAATAGTTGCCACGTTTAACAGGCGGGTTGGCAACCGCAGTTAGACTTTGGTGATGTTTTATGAAGGACGCTACTGTCCATCCCTCGGCTATTAAGTTACCTTATTTACCAGTTACGACACCCACGGGAAAGTATGGTGACATGGATTTTTTTTTAATGGATGATAATGGAATGGTAACCCTGCCTGCGCTAACGGTATACACTGGCGGGGCACCAGCGAGGGATCTCAGGTGAGAATGAAAAGGCAGGTCAGTTAACCTATCGTGAATACACCTTGGGTTCAGCTCTGGGGACCACATGGAGGTCGAACTGATAGGGTTTTTTTGATGGGTGAAAATGGTATGGTAACCCCGCCTGCGCTAACGGGATACGCTGGCGGAGCACCAGTGAAAGGTGATAGATGAGAATGAATACAGGCCAGTTAGCCCATCATGATGAATTCATTAGGAATTAACCATGATAGTTTCCGGGGGAAACCGCGGGGAGGGCGACCTGGTTGGGTATATTGCTAGCAATGGGATTCTCAGTCCCCATTACTAACAATCCCTTTCCCCAAATTATTATATGGATCGAAGATCGAATTTTTATTTTTTTCAATTACAGCGTAAGGCGCGAGGGGCCGATCTGCTGGATAAAGTGTGCGACAGTTTGGACATTGTCGAGAAGGACTACTTCGGCCTCCTGTACTTGCTGAGGGGTGACCCGCGCGTCTGGGTCGACCTTGGCAGGCGACTCTCGAAAACTTTCAGGAGTGAGTATAAAAAGACAGACACTCAACCAAAAAAGAAGAAAATAGCAAATTAGCAAAGCGAATTAAAAGTAGCAAAAATGCATGCATGCAATACATTAATTATAGCAAATTTTAAATCAGACCTTTAGAAACACCAAAATTTAACTTCCTAAATTTAACCTCTTACCACAGGGTGACTTTGTACAAAAGTCGTTTGCTTGGGTATCTCTGTCCCATTCGTGTTTCTACCGTGAAGCAGTTGTGTTTGCATGGCTGTGTTTCGGTTTGAAGATCGTGAATTTACTGGGTACAGAGGAATAACACATGAGTCTTCAGGAATGGCAACGCATGGGGGGGGAGGGGGGTATCATGGGCAAAAGAAATGGGGGATACGGTATGATATTGATGATATCCGTTTATACATAGAAGAAAAAGAAAAAACCCGTCTTTAAAAAAAGCGTTCACGCTCACTTTTTACTTTATCCGAGCAGTAAGTGCTTTATATTATTCTCAATTTCGTGTATAACATAGTATATGTCATATATGTGTAAGTATATTTGTTATTCATATATATTTATTCGTTTATATATGTAATTTTAGTATGTATGTATATCAATAATTAGTAGTACCGCATTCGAGTATTCTGACACTTGCCTATGGTTGACTGGGAGAGAATGCTTTTAGCATTAAGTCCGCCATGTATCTACCTATATTTGTACTAATGAATAAATAAATAAATAATAAGACTCTCGCCTTTTTTATATAAAATAATGTTTATTTCCAATTTAATTAATTTGAGAAATATAAAATTTTCCAGATGAGCCCTGGGACGTGCGGTTTGCGGTTAAATTTTACCCCCCGGAGCCGTCAGAACTTCAGGACGATATGACCAGAAACCAACTGGTGCTTGCCGTCCGTCGAGACTTGGTTGAAGGTAACTTTGACATAATTATATAGCATATTTTTATCCGACTCAGAATGATATATATATATATATTCTTTATTGCACTTGTAAGTGACATATAAAATAATGTATTTATAAATGTTGTGAGCAAGGGTGGACTTATCTCTGACAGAGATCTCTTCCAGTCAACCCAGTACAGTAAGAAAGCATTTCGTTAGCGGGCAGCTGAAGTGCTACAACTATTAATACATAAACAAATATACAGTTAAATAAAATATTAAAATATATAATAAAATATTACATACATATATACACTATAAATACATACAATACCTACCTACTTATATAATAAATGTTAAAGTAAATGAATATACTACTTACATTAGAAATAATAATATATAAATGATAATATTTTACCAGAAGGAGACTTTGTACAAAAGTCGATTGTTTGGGTACCTCTGTCCTATTCGTGTTTCAACCGTGAAGCAGTTGTGTTTGCATAGCCCTTCAAACCGAAATACAGCCGTGTTTCGGTTTGAAGGGTGGGATATGGCGTGAATTTACTAGGTACAGAGGAATAACACCTGAGTCCTCAAGAATGGCAACGCATGGGGGGTATCATGGGCGAAACAGTATACTCTGTTATGTCCATGGTACTGCTTATGTCTATAGGCGACGGTTACCACTTTCCATGAGGTGGGTCGTCAGCTTGTTTGCCATTCTAAGTTGTACAAAAAAAACAAAACATTACAGGTAGGTAATATAGGTACACCAATATTTTAGTTATAATATGTATATATTGGTCCAGTAACGAGTAAGTTAAAAGTCTGTTATCCAAAAAATAATATTGGATAACAGACTTTAAGACCTTCCGTTAGACCGCACTCAAAGTCGGGCAGCTCGAATTATTGACGATTGGCGCCTTACTATCCGACTCGACCCACTGAAACTGCGTAGAGATGTTGCGTCTCTGTGCATCTTCTACCGAAATTATCATAGGGAGTGCTCTGACGAATTGTTCGGATTGATACCTGCTGCAGATTTTCACCACCGTACAACCCGCCACAAACTAAAGTTCCATCCCAACCATCTGGACGCATGGCGGTCTTCCACCGTGCGTTTTTCAAGGCACTTTTTTCCACGCACAACTACTCTTTGGAATCGACTTCCAGCAGCAGTATTTCCGAACCGATACGACAACATAACCTTCAAGAAAAGAGCATATTCCTTTTTAAAAGGCCGGCAGCACACCTGCAATGCCGTTGGTGTTGTGGGTGATCATGGGCGGCGGTAGTCACTTACCATCAGGTGAGCCGCATGCTCGTTTGCCCCATGTGTTGTAAAAAAAATATATTCGACAATAGATAGAATAGATCTGACCGATATGGGTGATATCGAAATGGATGTTGACCTTTTTTTCGCCAATCAATGTACAGAATAACCTAATATATAGATGGATATCGGATCGGTATTTATGTCTACAAAACAATAGATACTTATAAAATAAAAAAATAAAATTATACGAACTATTTAAAAAAAAAATATAGCCCGTACCACTCGGGATGATTTAAAGATTCTAACTATACCCTACACATATAAATCTGTTGAGGTATTTAGAAATTATGATACAACAAGGAAACCGCATACAGAAAACCTGAAAAATTTTAATCCATTTTTGGAGGGTAGTCCGTCCTATAAATAAACTTTCACACCTACAGGTCGACTGAACTGTTCCAGTATTACCTACGCACTACTGGCTTCGTACAGACTCCAAGCGGAGTTGGGAGACTACGAGCCGGGGAGGGTGTCACCGGCACTGCTCGCTGAAAGTGGACCCATACCTCTCAGGGTCTTCACACCGGACATGGAGGAGAGAGTCGAAGAACTGTACAAGAAACACAGGTAACTCTGAATGTTATCAGTTTCTTGGATCAGAGTATCAATGGTAGCCCTCAGCTCCACCCCTGCACTATCGGTGTACCTTGGCGGGCACCAGTAAGAAATGATAGGTGAGAATGAAACCAGAGGGAGACTTTGTACAAAATTCGATTGCTTGGGTACCTCTGTCTCTTATTCGTGTTTCAACCGTGAAGCAGCTGGCGTGAATTTACTAGGTACAGAGGAATAACACCTGAGTCCTCAGGAATGGCAACGCATGGGGGGTATAATGGGCGAAACAGTATACTCTGTTATGTCCACGGTACTGCTCGTGTCTATAGGCGACGGTTACCACTTTCCATCAGGTGGGCCGTCAGCTTGCTTGCCATTCTAAGTTGTATAAAAAAAAAAAAGGTTAGTTGGCCCATCATGGCAAATTTACTAGGAATCAATCATCAGTTATTCTTCAGTTATTCCCTTACAATATAATATGGGGCATTTCAAAAAACGTGCCTACAAACATTTAAAAGACCTGCAAAGCACAACCAACACCTCTCGTGCTGCAGGTGTTCATGGGCGACGGTAGCCGCTTCCCATCAGGTGGACCGTCTGCTAGTTTGCCTCCCTAACTGTAAAAAAAACAGCTTCCAGGAAAAACCGTTTAGAGGTTGACCTGATAAGATATATTGCTAGCAATGAGGTCAACAATCCAATTAACAATTCAGACTTTTTTATACAACTTAGAATGGCAAACAAGCTGACGGCCCACCTGATGGAAAGTGGTAACCGTCGCCTATAGACATGAGCAGTAGCATGCACATAACAGAGTATACTGTTTCGCCCATGATAAACCCCATGCGTTGCCATTCCTGAGGACTCAGGTGTTATTCCTCTGTACCTAGTAAATTCACGCTATATCCCACCTTCAAATAGAAACACAGCCATGCAAACACAACTGCTTCACGTGGTTGAAACACGAATGGGACAGAGGTACCTGCAATTGACTTTTGTATCAAGTCTCTTTCTGGTAAATGACTTGATTCCAACCTCGTCTGTCATATCTTACTGGTCCTCCGCCAGTGAATACCGATAGCACAGGTGAGGTATTTTAATCCCATGATATAATATTACATAATCCCGGCAGGTTATACCTATATCAGGTTTACTGATGTTCTGATGATATTTACCTGATAGTGCTGCTTCCATGATGATACATAGCTAGGATTTTCTTTTAATGGCTCTGGCGGGGTACCAGTGTCCCTCACACGATAAGTGAAGATGAAGCAGGTCAGTTAGCTGATCGTGACAAGTTCACTAATGAATCAATCACGATGGTTTCCAGGAGGAACCGCGAAGAGGTCGATCTAATAGGGTATATTTCTAGCAATAGAGTTGCTAATCTCTATTATAACTAATCCATTTTCTCCCGCGTAACTACAGATTTTTTTTTTATTTTAATGAATGATAATGGAATGGTAACCCTGCCTGCGCTAACGGTATACGCTGGCGGGGCACCAGTGAGGGAAGGTAGGTGAGGATAGAAAGGCAAGTCAGTTAGTCCATCGTGACGAATTCAACGATAAATTAGTCACGATGGTTTCCAGGGGAAACCGCATGGAGGTCGATCTAATGGGGTATACTTCTTCTTTTCCCCCCACGCTGTTAGGATTAGTTCAGAGATGCAAATTTATATATTTGTCAGGGCTAAATCCCAAAATCCACTGTCCGCAGAGGTCAAACCCCGGCGGAGGCAGAGAGTCGAACTATTTGGAGAGCGTCAAGAGATTGCCTTTATATGGTGCTGAGCTGCATTGTGCCCGGGACAGTTCCGAGGTGGACATAGTGCTAGCTGTGTCGGCTCCAGGAGTTGCTGTCCATAGAGATGGGTAAGATGTGTAAATAGCCATTTAAGGATAAAGGCTTTTTAATACTGTGACAATGGTACAGGCATATTCGCCGTGTGGTCCCGGCATACCAATTATAGGTTTTTGACGATGTTTTGAGAGGAAAGCTTCTGTTTATCGCTCGATCATAACACGTTGAGCCCGGCGCCGGTCCCTGGGGACCGGCAGCGAACTTTCCGTGTAGCCGGCGCCGGTCCCTGGGGACCGACTGACACTCAGGTACTGGTCACTCGGACACTCAGACACTCGGACACTAGACACTCAGACACTAGACACTCAGACACTAGACACTCAGACACTAGACACTCAGACACTAGACACTGGACACTCGGACACTCAGACACTCGGACACTCGGACACTAGACATCTAGACACTAGACACTCAGACACTAGACACTAGACACTCAGGTACTGGTCACTCGGACACTCAGACACTTGAACACTAGACACTCAGACACTAGACACTTGACACTCGGACACTAGACACTCGGACACTAGACACTCAGACACTGGACACTCAGACATTAGACACACTGACACTAGACACTCGGACACTAGACACTAGACACTCTGACACTAGACACTCAGACACTAGACACTCGGACACTAGACACTCGGACCCTAGACATACAGACACTAGACACTCGGACACTAGACACTCGGACACTCAGACACTAGGCACACACTCACACACTAGACACTCAGACACTAGACACTAGACACTCAGACACTAGACACTAGACACTAGACACTAGACACTAGACACTAGACACTAGACACTAGACACTAGACACTAGACACTAGACACTCGGACACTAGACACTCGGACCCTAGACATACAGACACTAGACACTCGGACACTAGACACTCGGACACTAGACACTCGGACACTAGACACTCAGGCACTAGACACTCTGACACTAGACACTCGGACACTAGACACTCAGACACTAGACACTAGACACTCAGACACTAGACACTAGACACTCAGACACTAGACACTAGACACTAGACACTAGACACTAGACACTAGACACTAGACACTAGACACTAGACACTAGACACTAGACACTAGACACTAGACACTAGACACTAGACACTAGACACTAGACACTAGACACTAGATACTAGACACTCGGACACTAGACACTAGACACTCTGTACAAAAGTTCTTCACAGACACTAGACACTCGGACACTAGACACTCGGACCCTAGACATACAGACACTAGACACTCGGACACTAGACACTCGGACACTAGACACTCAGGCACTAGACACTCTGACACTAGACACTCGGACACTAGACACTCAGACACTAGACACTAGACACTCAGACACTAGACACTAGACACTCAGACACTCAGACACTAGACACTAGACACTAGACACTAGACACTAGACACTCGGACACTAGACACTCGGACCCTAGACATACAGACACTAGA